CGTCAGTGGCAGCCTTTCCACTGAATTCATGGGTGTTAGATTGGGCTCATGTTTAGTTCTATTGTACAACCCAGTCAAAGTAGAACATCATTGCGCCATTGCCCTGTCTGTGAGAATCATTCATCTTGTAGAAGGATGGAAAGAAATCTGGACTGGAAGAACAGGAAAATCAGAGAATCACCAAGAAGTATATATACAAATTCAATTGACCTAGAATGTATCTTTCTTACAAAAGAGGACAATGAAAAACATAAAAAGTGAAGTTGTGAATATAAAATAAATTATATCAGCATTCTATAGCTTGAATTATCTTCAGCCAAACAATTTGGATTTTCAGAAACAGGTATTCGTGTAAGTCTGTGTCTCTGGTTAGTGTTATATGTGCTGTACAACAGGACGTCGATGAGCGATCATTCTTTGAGGTTCTGGGTGCTATTAGTTAAATCCTATCTCTACCGTATTTAGGAAGGGTCACATCCTGCATGGCATTATTAAGGCATATCTTTAGTTGTGTTCAATTGTATATACCAGCTGCCCATATTTAGGTGGAATAGGCTCTGTTTTAGCCAAATATTTACTGATTTTACATCTGTCTTACCAAAGCATTTCTCAATCTAATATGTTTCAATAGAGCTTTCAGGGGCAGTGTCGCCTTGTCTTTATATTGTCAAATGCCCGGATTTAGGCGCTGATTCAGCAAAGTACTTAAGAACGTGCCTCAGTTTAAGCATGTGAGTAGCTTCACTGATGTCAAGGGGGGGGGTCAGATTTTTAAAGGTATTTAGGTCCCTAACTACACTAAGATCAACGGGCATTAGGGACCCGGTAGTTAAGCACCTCGCTGAATTGAAGCCTCGGAGGCTTTCATTGCTGGCAAATAAGTTTAATTTCAACACCAATAAAATCAATGAGAAACATCGTGTCACACAATTGTCACTGAAAAGAATCTGGTTCCACATGCTGGATTTCCAGAGAACATAATAAGTTTCTTTGGTCAGAGTTACTGAAGTGCTGTTCTAAATAAGGGCGTTTTCCTGAATCAGGGCCCCACGGGGAGTCCCACTGGAGTTAATGTGCATTGGAAGCAATCTAGGGCAGAGTACCTGAAGTCAATGGGACCATTTGTGACAGATTTTTGTTACCAATCTGCCTGAGGCGTCAGGCGATCAGGCTGAGGCTGCAGGATTGTTAGGGGAGGAGATGAAGAAGCACAGCAAGGGTCTAAGTTTTAAAGCTTTAGTAATAAAATAACAGCGGTGAGTGTTGGGGGCTTCCCACGTTACTCAGAGGAAGGAAAAAAGCGTTAGTGCCTGTGCCCTAACCCACTTTCATACTCACACACGCACAACCCACGGCTGGCCAAGCCTGGGTGTAACGTAAGAAGAAGAGGGGAAAGGGTGGACGAGAGTTCTGTCCTGTGCACAGGCCGCCCAGGGTCCGCTGTTAATTTTTTATTTGCTTTACCTTTTAGGAGGGGTTTAAGTCCTAGGGGCTTGGGGGGGTGTTTTGTTTAGGGACCTTTGTCCCCCTTGCTTTTTGTACCACTTCAAACTGGCTTTCTGCGGCCTCCTCAGCTTTCCCCAAAACACACCGGCTTCAGGGACGCTGGCCTCTGTTTTTCCCCCTTGCTGGCCTTTCCTGTTTCGCCAGTATTGCAATCCCCTGCCTAGCTGACCCCCCTTTTCCCACGGTTGGCTGGGGTTGGGTAAGAAGCAGATGTGGCTGCAGGTTTTTTGGCTACATAGTCTGTTCGAGCGCCATGACCTTGGACTGGAGCCCGCGTCCTATTTTCGGGCTGAGCTGAGGCATTGAGTTAACCCGTTTTCTTCTCCCTTCCTCCCCCTTCTGCCTCTCGCAACCTGCAAAGGAAACTTCCACTCCACACTCAAGCTTGTAACCCTTCCCAAAATGGCTTGCGATGCTTGCAACAGCATTAGAAACATACAATGCTGATTTGCCTCCCCGGGGGGGACCCCCTGAGGGAGGGAGCCACTGGGTTGTGACACATTAACATAGTTGGTGCTACTAAGTTTGTGTCCGAATTTGGCCCCTCTTTTGATTTTTTTTCACTATGCGGAGTGTGGATATGGGAGAACAGCAAAGAGGGGGAAAAACCCACTAAAACATAAGAGGAGTCACTTGGATTTTTATTTTAGTGTCACGCCAAAATTTGAAGGCAATTGAAGTTGGGAATTAGATCATTTGAAACCCCTCCCTAATAACTGCATTTCTGCTGCTCTTACCTGGCTTTGAAGCAGCTATTGATTTGAATAGCTATTGACCATAGGCTGCCTCGGCCTGCAGTTTATGCATTTGCTTTTTTTTCTATGAAAAACGGGTTTTTGTTTTTACTACTTCCGTGTACAAAAGTTTTAGTGTAAATGGGATTTGCCTTCGCATGATCTTTACGGGGCCGCATTCTTGTTTATAAAACTATAATTTTTCTAAATGCAGAACTGTAAAATATCTTTGTTTTGTTTTCTGAATTGTGAAATAAAACCAATACAAAAAGCAGATGCCAACCCCTTGTTTTTAATGTTTAATTTTTCGGTGGATTTATTTAGGAGGCTGGGCCTGAGCTACCGTTTTATTTATTTATAGTACGTTAGCTCCTGATCACCCCCATTAAGATCCCAAGATGCTTGGTGCTGTGCAAATGTGACAGCTGCCATCTTGGCTGACATACTGTGGATTGAATCAGGGACTTCCAAAGCTGAAAATGTATATCTCTACAGCTTTAACTAAGGGGCCAGGCTCTGTAACTGGGGTTGTAATGGACTCATAT